GGCCATTTTCGTTGATGAAATCGTCAGATATCATCAGAAAACGCAGGATTTGTGCTGTTTTGAATAAAACCAAGTTAGCGATTATAAACAATGGTTATTAACGTAACACCCGATTCCCTCTAAACTTTTTGTTTCGCATTTTAAGGTAAGAAATCTAAATTTGAAACAGACAAGGTGTCGATTTACTAGGTGCCATGTTTCACAACTTGTTTATTTATATACATATAGCAGAAGATTTAAAAAAAAAATAGTATTTATTGATTTTCAGCCCCCAAGTGACTGTGATTGAAGGTGAGAAAATAGCCCAAAATGTAAGAAAGTTTGTCTGCAAAGTTTAGAGAGCCACTTTGGAAGGCAAGTAAGTTGCTTGAAAAGTCCTTTGTAAAGTCACACTTGAAGGTTGCCTGAGAAGACTTCGTCAAAATGAAAAAAATGCCTTGAAAGTAAGAAAAGTTACAAAAGCAGTCTACAAAGTCCAAAAAAATGGCCTCAAAAGGTTAAAAATATTGCGAGAAAATTCAAGAAAGCCATCTGTAAAATTTGAAAAGTCTCTGGAAGGTTAAAAGTCATGAAAGTTGTAGGCATACTATGTAATACAATCCAGGCAATCTTTGGTCCGTGCAAGCTGACCTTTTGAAATCATGGGAGAAAATGCTGGACTGATAGCCAAGCCAAACTGTACAGAACCCATTCAATTTCTGATTGAGGCTAACTTGTATGGGACCCATACTTGTAACACTGTAAACTGTGCCACACATGGTCGAGAAACGTCCATGAGTTATTTATTTGGACAGACAGTGACACATGCTCTACACTGAGACGTGTTTCTAGGGCATAACACTATATTGGAACATATTAATGGGCAATGGGGTGCACCGACCTATCCCAGTTTGTTGCATATTCTAATATGAACAAATCATTGTTGATGACACAGTGCCCGTCCAAAATTTTGTGATCTGACATATCAATTTGATGCTGATGAAGTCATTGAGATTACCGGGGTAGATTAAAACCATCAATAGAAGATGGATTTGTAAAAAAATATTATTTAGTGCTTTTACATGAGAATTGGACATTGGGCAGTCATATTGAATCAAATTACAAAAATAATGCTCATGTTGATGTATCTATTGGTATACTATCTTTGTACAAAATTTAAACAGAAAGTAAGTATGGGTATCATGAAAAACAAAATGGCCACCAGTCAGCCATATAAGTTTGAATCACAGAAAAAATATGACATGCACCTATAACACAATATGTATGATCAACATATCAACTTTGATCTAAATTGGCCAAGTCATCTCTGAGAAACAGTTCAGGACATGTAAACAAGCAGTCAGTCGGCTGAAATAGCTCCGCTGTTAGCAATGCACATTTCAATTAAAGAACAGAAGATATCATTAGAAAATCAACAATATGTATAGTATCAAAGCAATGGGACTTGCTGTTTTCAACAAGAATTCAAAAATATCACTTTTCACCAATAATGACAAAAACAATGATCAACATTAGATAATTGAAGATATCACCACGAAATTAACAAATCTGAAAAAGGTCCACATGTAGTACCTATATATGTAATATCAAAGCAATTAGACTTGTAGTTTTTAACAAGAAGTCGAAAATATCACTTTTTACCAAAAATGACAAAAATATTCACCAAAATTAGAAAATTGAAGATATCATGAAATGAACAAATCTGAGAGTAGTCCACATGTAGTACCTATATATGTAATATCAAAGCAATTGGACTTGCGGTTTTTAACAAGAAGTTGAAAATATCACTTTTTACCAAAAATATTCACCAAAATTAGAGAATTAAAGATATCATTACAGATTGAACAAATCTGAGAGAGGTCCACATGTAATACCTATATATGTAATATCAAAGCAATTGGACTTGCGGTTTTTAACAAGAAGTTGAAAATATCACTTTTTACCAAAAATATTTACCGAAATTAGAGAATTGAAGATATCATTACAAAATGAACAAATCTGAGAGAGGTCTACCCAAGGTACATATAAACCAAGTATCAAAACATTCAGGCTTATAGGTTTCAAGAAGAAGTCAAAAAAGTAAAACATTGACACAGACGACGACGGACAACCACTCATATGATAAGCACCGCCCGACAAAGTCGACAGCAGAGCTAAAAATGACGATTTAACACTTTTACAGGAAGTTTGGGCGTCGGTCAGTCATGTTGAATGAAATCACAAAAATAATGATGGTGTAGTTGTATCTCTTGGTATACTATCTTTATACAAAATTTAAACAGAAACGTTAATAGCATTCAAGAGAAAGTAGCATGGGTACTATGAAAAACTAAATGGCCGCCAGTCGGCCATATTTGTTTGAATCACTAAAAAAGTATGACGTGCACCTACAACCCAATATGTATGATCATCATACCAGCTTTGATCCAAATCGGCCAAGTCATTTCGAGAAACTGCTGCAAACATGTTTAGGTATCAGAAATAGCAAATTGTACATCCAAAATAGCTGCCAGTCGGCCATTTTTGCTCCGATCATAAAGTAACTTAACGCACATATGTAAGACATTATGTATTGTCTTCATGTAAAGTTTGAATGAAATCCGTCAATGGGTGTTCGAGATATAGCTCCGGACGTATGTACGTACGTACATACAGACAGATGGACGGACGGAACGAACCCAAATGATTAGTCCCTGTTTTCTTATTTCGTCCGAACGGGGACTAAATAATCAAATATGGAACATATGTAATAACAGAACCCCACACCCTCCCAGTGGCTTTTGTTGAGTATGGAAGTTATTTTTACTCGTGATGTGGTGTATCCTGCTGTACTTTCACTCAGCCACAAGATACACCGAATCACTCGAGAAAATTCCATAAACGAAACCAAACAAACCAACTTGATCCTAGTGTAAACATTGGTAAATCTGGTCAAGACAAAGGTGCCCAATTTGTTAAATTTTTTGCCACAAGACACTTTTTGAAATTTACTTACTGCTCTTCCTCCTTTATACACATATCTGTATAGCAATGACTAAAGACCAACCAAATCTGTTGTAGCACATGAATTCAAGATAAACAACTGACATTTTATTCACCACAAGCTAGAAAAGCCACATGTAGTTCAGATACTCAACTCCACTAATGGAGAGCCCCATTAACATATGTAATGAGTTCCAAGTGCATATGCCCACCTATTAGTTCTAAAATCAACATACCTGCTGGTATAAATATACAAAGACACAAAACACAAATTTGATAAAATAAATGTCAGAAACAAACATTTTGTATTTATTTATTTATGCAGAGTCAAGATAGAAAAAAATGCAATACACTAACCTTAGTAATTCAATAAGATGTATATACAGAAGGGAAGCTTAATAAAATGTATTGCATACAACGTGACAACAACCTGGCTGCTTAATCAAGACAACAGGTAATCAATCAG